ACGAAAAGAATAATCAAATGTTCGATTTGAGTTGAAAAATCTCTGAAATTTAAACAGCAGGGGAATTGATCAAGGAAGTTGTAGTTGTCTGAGAGAACGCGTGAACTGTATACTCCACAGAAGTGTCGGCATAAATCGGGAACTAAAGCTGGTTATCAGCTAGAAATATGAAGATATTACGAGTGATTGTACACTTTACATTCATCACAAACTACTCTCATATGATTACAAAGCCGAGAGAAGCCATTCTGATGCTCTAGCTAATAGAGTTTAGTTATTCTTCCATGGTGAGACTGTATCTCATTCGTATAAAGTGAGAGAATTCGAGTAGAGTAGTAGAGTGATGAGCAGACTCATCGATCAGTTCTCACATTTGAGGAATAATTCGAAGGTTATCTGCTACTCAATCGTTCGAATTCCAAGATCAGATTTCTTTGGTTAATCTCTCGGACATGCTGTCATTTTTCAATCACAAACAATACTACTTATGAACCCTGAAATCTCTTACTTCATCTCCTAAGGACACACTAGCATATCGAACCACATTGATTCTGATCAGCAAATTGGAATGTAGACAAACCATTAAAGAGCCAAAAGAGAGGTTGTACCCAACGATAATGGAACATACAGCAACAATCTTACTATATTCATCATAGAAGAGCAGGATATCAGTCTGTAACAAATAACACTCAGAAAGTTGAGTTTGAAACGCACGCACGCATTCGTATCCAGCTGTACCTAGTGTAGTTGGTAGTCGCTGTCCGATTCAGAACCAGCTCTGAAGAAAGATGAACAGTACGTCTACTGGCTAAAACACAAACGATCACAGTGAATAACCAAAATCCTTACTCTTCCAACCGTTGAGTAGTGAGAACATGAACAGTTACATAAATGCTGGCAGAAACACTATGAGTCAAAATGACCAATTCAGGGATATACACTAAAACCTATAAGCTGATACATATGTCATTCAACTGAAATAATACTTCGGGTTATAATTTATATAACAGTAATTACTCGAATTATTAAAAAAAACTATCTAGAAATTTCATTCTAATCATTACATCTGCGGAAACATTTTCTATTCGACATCTAAAGCTGTTTTGTACTGTAAATTTTTTAAATTATATACAGTGGCTTGTTTTTTAGTCGTATTCCGTATACGTATACGGATAGAATAAAAACGGTACAACAGAGGAGAACAATACACTTTGTATGTAGTTCCATATCCCTCACAACTTCCAGTAGTTAATGAAGCTTCATTGATCAGAAGTTAACATTTCATAATCTGTTGATACAAAATTCTTTAAACATTGGTTCTATTTTTTCAATTCCATATGATGAAAAGTGTTTGGAATTCACGAAGTACGACAATCCATTACGATCGTCATAATACTGGAATTCATTCTTTTTGTTTAAGAAATAGGGGTTCACATCCATTATTTCACACTTCAAGCAGTCAGCTGTAGCATTCCGAATAATCATTCGGCCTTCTTCGGATTTGTTCACATAAATCATTGGAGGTTCCTTAGAGAGAACGTGTGTCTGAGAGATGTGCATTATGAACTTACATTTGGAGGAAGAAGGTTGCGAGTACCATGTTTTCGTTTCATAGCCTCATTCAGCTTTTCTACTACTTCATCAGGGGACCAGACGTAAGAAGTGAGTATGAAAATCTTCTTCTTCACGTTTTTTTCGAAGCTCTTGACTATTTGTTTTACTAATTCGATTCTTCTTACGATTTCCTCTTGTTCTAATGTATTGAATGAAGTTAAAAATATGTGCCTCAATAGGAAAGGTATAAAACGAAGATCAATCAACAGCATACCTGGAGATGATGTAGAGATAGTCGGGTTTTGCAGATTTAACATCATTGATGAACCCCTTTTGAACTCCTGTACAATCATATTTTGGTTTGAACTCTAGGCTGTCCCATAACACTTCACAACCTTAAGAATCATAAATATCCACAAATATATATTTTTTTATAGCAAACCTGTAAAACTCTTCATAGTAATATTTCTGAAGGAGTTTCGACATATAGGGTAGAAACCACGAAACAGGTTAGTGGCGAAGCTGTTGCCAATCACCAAAGCCGTTAGAGATTTTTCAGGGTTAATCTTGAATCATTAAAAATAAACGTGACCGCTCTTGCTACTTACAGGTGTATGACAAATTCCAAAAGGTCCTCTTCCATCTGCATACACACAGTTGGGATACCTCAAGAGTGGTCTGTCTTGCCTATTAAGCTGACTATTCATTTTTATGAGATCATCTTAAAAGTAAGTTTCATTTTGCATATCATGCGAGCTTACCTATTTTATAAGCTTTTCGGTTCTGTATTATCTCACGGTAATCAAACTCCTGTCCGAAAACAAGATGTTCCACTTGTGGGCTGAACACGACGAAGATTATATTACTCAGGTACAGTAGAAAAACGAGTGCCAGTATAGGCTTGTGTTTCAGCTTTAAATAGAACTTCTCAAACAGCTCGTGAACAAGGATAGCCAGGATAAACGTCACAGCAATTCCAACAAACTTGGCTAAACAGAAGTTTGGATGATAACAACATAATGCTTACCGCTGTGGGATACTTGTTGATTCAGTTGAAGATAAACATGAGCGGGGTAATGAATGAGGTATAAAATATAAGAAATATCTCCCAGATAGTATAAAGGTTGAAAGTTGAGAATACAGCTTTTTGTTTTTCCCCCGAGGTAGATGAAGGCTGCTGCTAATATTGTAGTTAGTCCTCTTAAAGTCGGATTTATGTTTGAAGCTTTGAAATGGGTAGAGAGTGAACCTCAAAAGATTTTTGCTGTACTCTTGTTCAGGGGTAAATCCTAAAACGAGCAATGCGATCAGTACTACTCGCTGCGTTCCCTCAATCAAAAACTGGACATTTTCCGATTCCACTGAGATTGAAACTATTGGAGGGTTTCAAAAAAAATAATACCTGGGTTCTCCTCCGGCGTCTTCTTTGGAGGTATGGCTTCTAGAGCGACGTCCCTAAGCTCAGCTTTTCTATCATCAAGGTTGAGCTTTTCTATGTGGCTTCGGAGATAAACAATGTAACCTGAAAATAAAAAGTTTACCAAGCATTGAAACTCAGTGTATAACCAGCCAAGAACTGCCATAAACGAGCGAACATAAAGTTGAAAGACGTATTCTCATCCGCGAGAAAGTAGATGAACAGCGAAGCAACACCTGTACATAAGTTGCAATAATATTTAAACTAATCACTTACTTAACACGAAAACGAGCAGTACTGACTTTTGTGTTCCCAAGAATCGACCTGATACGTATATGAATGGAACAAATAGGTAGAATTGAATCTCCACGGCAAGGGACCATGTATGAGTGAATAAATTGTCCGAGACAGCTAGCTCAAACAGAAATTTGTGAAAAAAAGCAAAAAATCTATTACCATGGCTTCATATCGAGACTCTCCATCAACAGTTAGAAAGTTTGTATAGAAGAACAGAGCAGGAAATGCGGAAATTATGTTGAGAGCTATATTTGTCTGCGGAAACAGGAAGAAGAGAGAAATCAAAGTGAGTAGTGTGAAGAGAAGGTAAGCTGGGAAGATTCTTTTGATTCGAGAGTAGTAGAAGCTCTTGAAAACTTCCAAAAGAGGTAGTGAACTACGATGGAGAATCATAGAGATCAGGTAACCAGAGAGAACGAAGAACCTGCAAAGGGATTCAGTTAGAGTCATCAGCGTTGAGGCAAACCCACAAGTCTACTCCTATGTAACCATTAAAAAAATGTTTCGGCCAGAAGTGAAATAGCAATACCTCAAGAATGGCAATGCCCCGAAGGCATTGAAGATCTAACCTCTTACCCATGCAGGTAGAATCTGTAACTCTATGAAGAACGCAAGATCTTCCAGAATGAAGAAATCTCTCGAATTATCTACATATAGTATATATATCATTAAAATCGCTTGTCCACAAACAGGAATCATAACAGCAAAGATCAGTCCCTCCAACGTGACCATGGGCTGGAAATGTTCTACAGAGAGTAATAAAAATAACAGCTATGACTCTTGAACACTGGTACGTGATTCTTGTTATACAGAAAAATGCAGAACATAAACAGATTCAGAATAGTTTGAGAGAAAAGGGAAAGGAAACCAATCTTTTGGAATACGCTGGGTCGTAAGCGGAATGAATCAGATCAGCTGTAAAACTTAACGGAAAGCTTTCCTCCGTGCTAATCATTTCATCACAGTAGTCTGATATCGGCGTTGTTTCCATTTTATACTTCGAAAAAACCAGCGAAGTCATTTTTTAGAGAGAAAAAATCGAAAACAAATGGACGATTGGAATTAACTGTTATAACTCGTATGATTGAATCTATCAAACTAATGCCCTTTACAGACAAACTACAGTTCGACTAGAGTTCATTCTACAATGAGTAAACGCTCCAAGGCTTGAAAGAATGTTGGAATTCTCAACTCATACCAATACAGTAATCAAATAAAAAGTAGTTTGAAATCAGATGATACGTTTGGGATTCCTGGGCTCTTCATCATTCTGCACCACTAATTTCCAATTTGAGAATTTGAAATGTCAATTGGTTAACAAGAGAAAAAATGTTTTCCAGAAAAAAAATATGTCCTCATTTTCATTTTGTGCTTTGACGGTTAATTAGCACGGTTGTTCACGATCCTGTCTAAACCATTAAAACATCTCTCTTAATCAACCTATTTACAAGAATTTTCTTAACTGCGGTTTCATGATTGATTTCCCAATTTTCAAGTCCCAAAGAAGAGGTCTCTCGAGTTTCTTATCATAAATACTTTTGGGTTCATGATGAAAAGCAGAATGGATATGCTCACTAAAGATGATCATACATGCTTGATATATCGAAGCTTTCTCTGTCAGAGGAGATCTGGATAACTACTTGTAATCAAAGTTTTGACCCCAGAAAAACGTGAGCATCAATCAACTGTCTATAGTTTCGTCTCGTTTGTTGTCCATGGTTATCAAGTTATATTCTTTTGATCTTTGAAAACGCAGACCAAACCAGAGAACAGAGTAGAGAAAGAATTAACAAAGAGAACTAGTTGATAAGTTTTTGCAACTTTCGTGATAAATGCTTAAGAAAAAATATGCTGAAATGATAAAAAGAAATTCCCATGCCGGGAATCGAACCCGGGCCGCGTGGGTGAAAACCACGAATCCTAACCACTAGACCACATGGGACACACTTCTATAATTTTAGAAACATTATAGTAATATAGAAACTGTTTGCATAAAAAACTCATTATTAAAGCTGGTTTTGAAAGAAAGGAAAAATTTTTAAAAATATGAATTAGGCTCGATTTCGAGGTCCATTTCCTATATGTGAGTTTGACCTGGTTGCAAGATATTAAACAGCATACGATAGTAATCAGTGAACCAATCTTCACATCTATCAATAGTATATAAGTATAATTTGAATTTACTTTTTCTTGGGAAGTCATGGACTACTCTCCCATCCTATCTATAACGCGATTATCGTCCAAGAAACTGTTTTCTTCATTCTACCATGTTTACATTATCTGTTCTGTTATTTTAATAATTTCATTCACATTACTCTGTTCTGATCTCTTTCACGACAAAGGGATATCTTCTCTTTTCGAGAAAGAGTCAATCTATAGTCATTTGCTATCAAATGAACAAAGCCTATATGACCTTCTATCATATAATTACAAAGTTAAGCAGAACATCATTCGAGCTTTAACTTCAGAAGGTTTGCTTATCTATCCAAGCGAAAATCGAGATTCTTTCAGAAAACGTATCAGAGACGATACCTCCTTTACAAATTTTTCGTCAGCACTTCATGGTATGCATTTGGTATCTCTATAATTATTCATGTTGAATTCTAGACAGCTCCTGATGTTCAACTAACTTTATGTCCAATTTCCAAGGCGATGTCGACCGTTGCTATGAACATATTTTGTTACTTGTATGACCCAATCAACTTCATGAAACATGGACAGAGCATCTCTAGTACTATTTGGTCTGGACGGTACTCTTCAGATAATCATTGAATAACTTCCTTTGGTACAGACTTTGCAGGAAAATAAACGAATTGAAAAGTTATGACGAGCTACAGCAAAGTATTGGAAACAAGTTCTACAGAACAATCGCAGTTGTTCGCGATCCTCTGTCTCGATTCATCAGTGGTTATCTGGATAAGTGTGTTAGGTTGGAACTCCGAATATATGGTTCGTGATGATAGATTTATCTTTCAAGACCAAAACGGAAATGCTTTGGATGCGACTCTGAAGATGTCTTTTGCGTACTGACTCGTTTGAAAATGGCATTGATAAACAAACCGGAGATTCCATCAGCAACAAATATTACTTTTTCGGTGGAGCTCTTACATATGGCACCGCAAACTTGGTTTCCTAACGTCCGAATGCCTAATAACTAACATGACATTTCAGGTACTGCGAAATGCGAAAGGTTTTCGAAAGTTTAATTTTTGTCAAATATGGTCAAACTGGATATGAGCATGAACGGATGATCAAAGAATTGGCTATAGCATTTACTATTGCAAGAGTTCCTTCTACTCAAGTCAATTACATTGAAAATGAACTTAAGAGTTAGTCGGTTTGCTTAGACGACGAGAATGCTCAAAGAACCATTCCAGAGAGCACACGAACTAATCACACTACAACAGGCATGGATATCAGAAAAGATCTTACAAGAGAGTTTTCGCAAAGAAACGATCTGCGAAATTTATTTTGGAGCATTTTTAAGAATGATTATATCATTTTCGAATATGAATTTTCGTTATAAATTGATCTCCAATTGTCGTGTGCACGACCGCTCCAGTCAAAATAAACAAATGAAAATGAAAAATTTTTTCACGCGCACGTAATTGGAAGAAAGTGTGCGCTAATTAGGAATTGTAACCATAAATGAGTTGCTTACGATAGAGAAAATAAAGTAATGAAAGAGTCAGCTCTTGTTGAAAGGACTAAAACGAATAATGGGATGATATGTTGTTGGATATAAAATAACAAAACTGACCCCTCATATCGAGAGGCAACTTGTAGTTTGTATCTTCGACCAAATGGCCTCTGCCGCAAGTGAGTAGTTATGTAAGAGAAAAGGATGAAGAGGTATTACAGAGTGGAAACAAAAGAAAATGGTTGATGCTTGTTACCAATCGCTCAGAGAATTCAGCAACCCAGGTGTTAGACGCAAACTACTTGAAAATTTTATTAAAAAATTAAAGATATTCATCTGAAAATTAGCTCAATTAACGTTGCTCGATATTTCAAACGCTGATGTTATCTCCCGGTTAACTCAATTACACAATTTGGTATAAATAGCAAAGGTAGTAGAGGTCTGCTCCCTCTATAGCTATTCTATAGTGTGGAAGATCCAATTGGAACCTCTCACTTATCATCTTCTTCTACTGTTTCTACAGACATGAGACTGTTAATACAAAAGAATATACGCATATCTCAACGCCATGTCAACTCGTTCTTACTGTTAATCATAGCTGTTTTCGTTGTTCTCGAAATTCTAGAGAAAGTTCCTGATAGAAGCAGTTCAGCTCATCTATTCAATGGTCTTATGGAAGAGTTTCGGTGCATTGCAATGAGCGGAAGAAGACTGAATTCTGAAAGCTTCTCTTACACTAAAAACGTTCGAGATAACATCAATGCTCATCTTAAACTATTAAGTAAGTATTGAGCAGAATGATCGCTCACAGCAAGTGTGTACTGTAGATATCCTAGAACATGAAATTCCACCTCTCAAAGTAGGACTCAGTAACTTCTCGGTAGTTCATTACATAGTTTATATATGATACACAATCATTTTCTGACGGTTCCTGAACTGAAGATTGGACAGTGTCACATCCCAGGTGTAATAGCACCTATCATGGATAACATAGTGTGTTATATCTATGATCCTGAACTGTTTGTTGAAAACAATAATAGTATTTTCAATCAGTTGGGAGAGAAACGGTAATCATTTTCTTCATTTCACGTGTTCAAAGCATTCTATCAGACCTTCTAAGACAAGAAAGAACAACGTAGAGGAAGAGTATTATCCATTCTGTGAAGATAAGAATAATGCTATGATCTATGAAGATATGCTTAGGAAACTTCCGTTCGGATACACATCCCTTGTTATAGTGCGGGATCCATTCTTCCGATTCTCTAGTATTTTTGAGGAGCATTGCACCAAGTAAGTTTTCGATCACTATATCAACTGACTGTATGATCTTTACCTCTCTTCAAGACGAATTGGATGTTTTGGTTGTCCAGCAAATGAAGTATACTGTGTCTTGTCAGAATTGAAAACGGCTTTGCTTGAAGCCGACTTCCGGCTTGACACTGGAAACCCTAATCTCCAGGTTTTATTGGAGTTAGCTCCACAGTCTTGGTCAGTACTCTCTTCCAGTAAGTTTTTTAGAATCAGAACTTAAATCTTTGCAGGAATTGTCGATTAGCGAAAATAGCTGCCAACTCTATGTTCTTGAAGTTCGGAGATGAGGATCGATGGCTCTCAATGATCAATGAGTATATGGATATACTAGCAATGCTTCGAGTACCTTTTAAGAACATAGAATACATCCGGAAAGAACTTAGAACTAGTGAGAGTAGCAGCCATATGAAAGGTTTGAGTACCATTGAAAAGATCAAATCGAATACAGAACTTCTCCGATTGTTTCTGGATATCTATCGTTATGATTTTCATATTTTTGATTTCACTGTTCCGTCCCATGGTTAGTTGAGTAACTGATGAAGTTATCCAATTGAATGCATTCAACCAAGTAATTGAAAACTGTTATTAACCTTATTTGAAGTCAAATGAACTGTCGTTAGATCTATTCAACTCTGTCACGATATCTATAGATGATGAAAGAATTCTTCGATATTAGGTTTTTCTGTTTTGTTGCTTCTATCCTGTAACTTAAATGTAATAAAAGATATCTCCTAGCCAGGATAGAAACGAAAAGATCAAAACACTTTGCGAATCTGAGTATATATGGAATCAGTTCTCAAAATAAACCATGGTAATCTCATTGAAATCTTATACCGGTGAGGTATACGTTGATTCCAGACGATATTCATCAATATTCCAAACATCTTGTCTGAGCTGCGGAGAGGGCCCAACCAATGAGATCATGCATACGAGACGAAGATATTCATATTTGTAATTAGACTATCGTTCTTATAAATCTTATAAGTTACTTTCATGGAACCGGATTGTCACATTGATTACGAATGGTCATTTGTCCTTTAAAGATGATCTCAATGAATCCTCTTCTTCATTACGTCTGCTATTGAGAATGGCTTCACATGGTGTTTTCCAATTGAATAAGCACACCTTTTTTCTTTCACTTGCTTTTCTATTTCTTCTGTATGTTCTTGTGGTTAAACATCGAAGCATCTTGACCGGCAGTGTAAGTCTTTCTTTGATGATTTCATTAGTGTTTCAAATCTTCTGCCACATTGCTAAGTGTTCATTAAAGGAATTACCTCAACAACTTAAAAATACAACTTCGAGAACTTATCCTCCAAGCAAATATACTTTAGGAGTACGGAAGCGGATAAATCAGCTGTTAGAAAGTTGGAACTTCGATGAAGCATTATCAAATGACTTTTTGCTCTTTCAGATGTTCAAGACAATACGACAATGCGTAACACGAGGAGTCGTTTCTTTGTATGTAACTTAAAACTTTATAAAAACTTTATTTTCCTATTTGAGGCGGTACCTCAACATCGCTTGGCCACTTGTGACATTGACAAAGTGATGTCAACCGTTCTTGTGAACGTTAATTGTTACTTATATAACGAGACGTTGTTCCATGATAGGAACAATACTATAACGGGCACTTGGTGGTCAGAAAGGTTAATCAAGGTTTTTCAACTCTCACTCAGAAAAGTGTTTAGAGCTTGTCAAACGGAAAATGAAGCTTGGGGCTATGAATATCTTAAGAGCATAATCCCCGTCGATCGAAACTCCATTGCTGTCGTGAGAGATCCTATAGATCGTTTCATCAGCTCTTTCACAGATAAATGCATCAAGTAGGTTGTTCTAATGACAAGCTTTACGCTCACACTCTCTTTCTAGTGAGTTACCGACGTTTCCTGAGAACTGTTTCGGATGTAACGGTGATATCAATTGCTTCATCGAAAAACTTCCTCCGATACTCAATAATATAGGAACCGAAGATCCTGATATTGACAGTACAGCGAAGTTGCATTTCTCGCCACAAGTATGGTAAGCTATGAGTTGAGAAGACGTATCTGTATAGCTCTTTTTAAAGGTTTTGTGATTTATCGATGTCTATTGATGATATGCATTTCATTCAATTCAATTCAAAGAATGCACAGGAACAAACGATCAAGCCACTCTTGGAAATTTTCAAATTCATAGGAGTTAGTGAGCATCAACTGGACTACTTACAAGAAAGTTTCTCAAGTAAGTTTCAAATCCTTCAATGTTAGTAGTACAACGCCTTTGCAGAGCCAACAGTTCACACGACGTCTGGATCAGATACGCGGGCAAGAATCGGTGATATGATAGCTAATAATCAGACGCTCTATAACATCCTCGTTGATATATATGCATTAGATTATGCTGTTTTTGAATTTCCATTACCTAGTCGAGTCTTTTTATAAATTGTTTTTGTATGTTCAATTAATAAGAATTCAAAACTTTGTTGTGAAGTTTGTAAAAAACGAATTGATAACTGATGATGTATCTAGGACACTTTCTCGCACCTTTCTTTCTTTGAAACTGAGAAGAACAGTGTCTCACCTCACCAATGTCTTTCTCTCTTCTTACAAATCATTCTTTATCTCTCTATGTCACACTCACAGAAACTATAAGTGAATGAACAAGAACGGAAGGAGAAAACTTTTTTGAGGGCAAAGCTGAGTGCCAATTCTATAGCTGTGGATAGAGAAATGACAGAAAAAAGGAACATTTAAGAGAGTTTTTGATAGACAATAGGTAGTGTTAACAAGCGAATAGAGATGAGGAAGAAGAAAGATGAAAATTCAGAAGAAAACGAAGAGATTGCAACAGAATGAGCTGAGTTTGTGTGTGTGTGTGTGTGATGTGTATGATCCGGGAAGAAGCTATCATCTCTCTCTCTCTTCCTCTTTCTTTCTCTCTCTCTGTCTCTCTCTCGGTATTTCTATCTTTGCCTCCCCCTTCCTGTCTTCAGAGGCAGATACTCTTTATCTTCTTTCATGCTCTCGTATCCAAACTTTCATTGTAATAAGCATCGTTCGTTGTAGATATCATGGCTGTCATAGCTTAAGAAGGTTTATACTTCTTTTGCCCGAGGCAATCAATTTGTTTTTCCTCATCTTATACACACAAACCACTACATATGTTTCATTTATGCACTTCCCTACACGATTCATTTATCAATTACATACTTAACCTCTCTAATACGTTCTCACTATCATCTCAGCTCATCAGCTCTTCTATCTCATCTGACCAGAGCCTTTAACGTTTTGCAGGAATGGGAGCGAAAGAGGATAAAAAATTGAAAGATAAGAAGCTACCAGAAAAGAGAAGTAAATCTGCTGATAATAAATGGAGTGCCATTACTAATAATCGTCTCACAAATGCCGTTTCTCGTAGCTTACCAACAATCAGTCGTCTCAAGGTAGTGTGTATCTCTTACTTTCAATTGTCATCCAATCTTGTTGTAGAAAGATGCTGATGCAACACCTAAAACGATTATTGAAAAGCCGGAGAAAAAGAAACGACGAAGGAAGAAAAAGAATTTGGACGTTCGTTCACATCCATATATAGCAAGTTCAGATAATTCCTTCTAGGATGAAGCCAATTTCTCTCCGGATGAGCCGCCTAAACCTAAAATTATAATTCCAAAGGAAGACAAACGGAAAAAAACTTTATGGCGACATATCATGTGGCTTGTTGTTCTGTTTGCTTATTCCTTACTTGGAGGATTACTGTTCAGTGCTATAGAAGGTATGGTAGAAGTGGTAGATGAGCTATTGAAATGCCATTACATGTAAGGTGGTTATGATAAGGTTGTTTTACTGTCTGACTATGAAAGAAGTATGACTCTCTTCCGAAGAAGACATAACTATCAATCAGATCTTATAAGCAGGTATAGCTTGTTCACTCATCTGCCTTGACATTCGCTTTATCCAGGTTTCGAGAAATAGCTAGGCTTAAACCTGTTATATTCAACAATAAGGGAAGATCTGCTGTCAACAAGACAGAGTTACTACGTCATGCCTTAGAATGGTCTACCAGAGTTTACTTTGAGTTCATTCAATAAGTATGTTGAAGGTATGAACGAAAACTTGGATTCACCAATGACGTACCCGTGCAAATGGACACGAAATGGAATTTATGGGGTGGAGTATACTATGCAGCTAGTTTGTATACAACCATAGGTAATCTCTTCAAATGAAGCTTACTAATGCATTTCAAGTGGTAAGATTGAAATAATATCATTTTGAACTAATAAACTTGTTGTTATACTTCAATCTTTTCAAAAAATATATTTTAAACGATCTATTTGCTGACGTCTTTCTCTCTCATCATTAAGGTGCTTTTTTCTGAGCTTCTTTCCCTCATTCCGCTTAGTTTGTTCCTTTTCTTTTCTTTTTTCTCATCACTTCACTTTTGGCAGCTTTTAAGCATCATGATGGTAGAAAGCTGCAAGAAACAACTGTCACAGATTGAATTTCTGAAGGATTAAGTTGAAAAATCTCTTCCACCCTCTCTTTCTTTCAAATTTTTTTTCTGCTCTCTTCAACAGAAAAGAACTAAACTGATTTACACAAACAGCTGAGATAATTGAAATGTCAATTGAGAAGCAATATAGTTAACACGTTAACCATAATGATATATTTTACAGGGTATGGAAACTTTCATCCAAAAACGAATACAGGACGGATTGTTTCAATGCTCTATGCATCTGTGGGCATTCCGCTTGTATTCACTATTCTGTTAGAATGGGGTTTCTTGTACTTTACATGGATTGAGTATGGCTGGAATTGGCTCAGTGAGAAGTTCTGCCAGAAGTGGGTTTCACTGTAGAAGCATACAATGATTGTTTTGTTGCAGAAGTCTGCAGAGACAAGTTGAGAAACGTTATCTACGAGAGAGGTTAGTATATACTAGCATAGCTCAGTTTCGGGTTGTTTTTAGAGTTCGTAGAGTTGGCAGTGAGCTTTCCTTAAGAAGTATGTCGACAGTTCCTCTGTTGAGTGTTCATCGAACTACAAGCAACCAAGTGAACACTATTGATCATCAAGTAGGTTGGGCATTACTGATCTTAATGTAAATGTATAATAGATCGAATCAAACAAGCCTTTAAAAGAGCTTGATATTGTGTTAGCTGACCAAGAGCAGGCTCAGACAGTTCCTATGAAAGCAGCTTTAATCTTCTTTGTTATGTGGCTATGTTTCTCTGCTTTCATTGTTCGGTATTATCCATTTCTCAGATAGGCCGTAAGCCTTTGTCCTATTTCAGTCTGTGGGAGTATGAATGGACATATTTCACAGCTTTTTATTTCTTCTTCACTTCACTTACAACTATAGGTAATTAGCATACACGTTATCCACGTAAGGTTGACGTGGAAGTTCAACGTAACATTTCCGTGGCATTTGACGTGAACAGTACATTTTCAATGATCATAGCTCATAAACTGGTTGACCGCTGTGATAACTTCAACAACTTTCATCAATTTTTTAAAAGTTTTGTTCAATTGCAGGGCTTGGTGATGTAGTTACAAAAACTCCAAACTTCATCATTTTCAATCTGGCAATGACGTTGATTGGACTATCGGTTGTAGGATTATGCGTAGCTATCGTCCAGGTTAACTTCTAGTTATAGATAACAAGCCGTAAACTCATTACTTCAGGCAAAAGTACGTCTAGTTTTTGACCGTATGATTCGCTCTATTGATTCACAATACCGTATCAGACAGATAGATCCAGATGTGGCTACAATGACCATCATTACCGATGAAAATGAGGGCGTGAAAAGGTTAGTTTTACCTTTTTTCAGTTTTTTTTCTCAATTTTTCTCTTCACCTAAAATTGATGGCAAATGATGAGAACAAGTTGAGCAGACCATGAATGTTACAGATTGATCGAAGCCCAACCAATACAAGATCGCATCATATTCTTATTCATGGATGAACATAAGAAGAGTATGCTCAAAGAGCGATGGAGACAGAGGAGTTCAATGACAAATAAGTTCTTATATATTAGTTCTAACCTATATTATTACTATAATTTCATAGAATAACACAAACCTATCCATCTCGTGCTGATAAGTATGTTCAAACTGGAAATCGAGTGTATGATCAGCCACTCAATTCAGATGGTTGACAATTCATTTGTCTTCTGCACAGTACTCATTCATTTATATTTCAGAAGATTATGATAGTGAGTGGGAAGATGAAGAAGAAAGTGAAGCATCTTCAGGTGAATATGATGAAGCTGGTAATAAAATATTTCCGCCAAGTACAAAAAGATACATTTATACGGTTTTTGATTAAAAAAAGCTGACAAAGTCTTTCCATTCTAATTGATCTCATTCATTTTAATGTTAAAAGTCATATTGTGTGAGAAAAGCAGGTGAAGACTTGTTTCTCTCTTGTAAGCTTTAATAAACCTCTTTCATTGGATTGTTTGATGTGAAATTGAAGGTATGGATATGATATAGTTGGTTATAGGTTTATTCATCAAATAAATATGGACTTACTAATATTACAAAATGAAATTAATCATCAACATATTGATTTCCAGTCCTAAGAAATCGAGAGATGGTATAATGCGTTGGTTAATGAATGACAATCCCGTTCTTCATTTAACCCTGAAATACAAATAGATATTACTGCAACTTTCATATATTTCTTATTCTATTTTAATCTCTTTTTTTTCTTCACACCAAATACATTTCCTTATGAAAATGTTTGTAGAACCCCACCCAATCTGGTTGCCCTGATTGACCCGATTTTTAAGAAAACTATCGACGACGTGTCAGAGTTGGCGCAACAACCGGGACAGAATATGATCGTTTCATTTGGATATCATCATCATCAATGGTTTTAAGATTTTTGGGGCAAATTTTAATCCATTTTCACACTCTCACACGCACATTCGAAGTCGAAAGACGAACCTGAAGACAGTGAGATCCTCCACAGAAACGTCCACTTCTTTCGACCATGGCGTCAATGAGATTGTTAACAAAATCAAAACCAGTCTTAAGTTGGCTTGACGCAGCTCCAGTAGTATCAGCAATAACCTTAAAATATAATGTTTGATTTTTCGGTTTCACATTTCATGACTCACTTTGCGACATCCAACGTTGAGCATAGCTTCCATTCCAAGGTTCTGGCCAGCTGGTCTGTTCTTGATACAGTTGGAGAGAGCAGAGTCAATAACAGTAACCCAATCGTTGACTGGTGTGATCCTTAAAAAAAACATTAAATTTGATAACATCCATTGACTTACATTTGCTTCTTGATGTTGGCAACACAGACATCAACCTTGTTGGATGATCCAATAGATACTCCTCCGAAACCTCCATTGAGAAGCTACAAATGATTACTGTCATTAAAATCAAAAGTATATATCTCACATCATGGAAGACTTGAGAGATAGAAGCAATGCGTTTCTTCAAGTCATCGCGAGCCTCATTGATACAAGAGCAAGTGGCAGATCTGGTGTTAGGAATGGTCTGAGCACAGCTTCCAACAGCAAGACGAGCATCACAGCTAGACAAAACTGAGAGCAAAGGATAAGAAAACAAAACTTATTATGAAAAAAACCTTTGCAGTGTTCAGCGAGATATCCAACGAATGGGTTGTTCAAGCAGCTGCGGGTGTTAGAAGCACGTTGAGGTTTACGTTCACCACAGAAAGTCAAACGAGAGTGAATGAGAATGTGGTCAGATAAAGAAGAGATACTGAAAAAAAACTCAAATACTCTATCAAATAGTTTGAACTGGTCTGAAAAGACAAGTAAGTTATAAATGATGCTTACACAGAGTCCTTGAAGTTGAAACTTCCTTCCTCCAAATCTGGAATTTCTGGAACTCCTGGGAAGTCGGCGATCTTTTTACGAAGGCAATAGGTGGCTTCACGGGCGATAGCTGAAATAAAGACTCATACAAGCAGGTTTCTGATTATTTCTTGAAAAATCCAATAAAAAACTGAACAAACCTTTGGTGATCTCTTGACGGATGCACTTTTGATCTTCAGCAGGGGTAGACTTGATGGCTTTCAAAGCTCCGGAAGCGAACTATAACAGACCAGTTAGACTTTTCTTTTTGTTTTCACACGTACAGTACGACAGATAGTACAATCTCTAAGTGGCCCATGACGGTCCCAAGCGACTTGGTTGAGATCGTTGGCGTTAAGAACACAACGGTCTTTAGTGTTTCCTTCTTCAATGCTTGAAGCGAAGCAAGCGGTGGCAGCTCTTCTGAAACCCCAGAATATAACAGAAGGACTCATTATATTCCGACCTTCCGTGCTCTCGGATTTCGTCTTCATAGATTCCATAGTTGGCATCGAGACCTTCCTTTATACATTGCAAGTACTTTCCAAAAACTTCTCTAGATCCAGTTGGAGTAGAGCAGTCTTGGGCTTGACCCAAAGCCTATAATGAAACAATAAGAAAAACTTCTGTGAGAATTCAGTAGTACCACAAGGGCTAGAACAGCCACTATCCGAAGCATCTGAAAGACAAATAGTTAAAGGAAACAGTTTGCTGAAAGAAGGAGGAGTGTATGGATATGGTCGAAAGAAAAGATAACAGAGATGGGCTTGTTGTAAGCCAGTTTTGGATTTGGATTCGAAAGTACACAACAGATCTGGATATGATTTGTTTCATTAAACGGACAACACAAGACCTAGTAGGAAGGAAAACAATGAACAAACATCTAAAAAATAAAATAATATAGATGATAGAAACAGCTTTGATAACTAGCAGGTGCATCTCTAGCTAAATGAGATGGCGAAAAGACAGTGCGGACTGTGGCCATAGCGAATGATGGGCGGAGCTGACCCCCATCCCCATATCTGAGACCAGAAGTTACGATCTACTCTTTTTAGCATCTAATACGATTCCCAAGTATGTTCATAAGTAGGAAAGGATTAAATGACCAATTCATGCTTACGGCTAACTGTTGCTCAGAATAGGTTCTTGTGGCGGCGTCCTATGTTCAGCGAGCGGCAGGTAACAATTGCTATGAGAAGATGAGATGGCCTTTTAAGCAAACCTGAATCTACGACACAAAACGTCATTTTGATCAAAAATATAAAATGGTGAGAATACATGTGTTCATCCTGTATTATCGTAAGAAATATACGAATTTGAAAATGTATCAGGTCTTTTCGCTGTGAAGAAGATTTCTTATCGAATCCGAACTGCTTTCGTGGTCAATGTTTGTATCAGCTTCTGTGTCATTCTAATGATATCATCCTGCAGATGATAATGATAATAGCAATAACATACACACGAGAAGTCATTGGCAAAACGATGACAAATTTTATTAAAGTAGTGTCAAATCATACGAACGACTTAATCAAACATCTACAAATCATACAAAATAGACCAGCACGCAATGAGAAACTCCTCAATTTCATCGAAGAATCGTAAACAGGACGTTATAATGCTGAGAATTTAGTAGTTAGTATTTGAATAAATTATACATGAAAGATAATTAGAAGTTTCGGAAGTTAACTTCTTGCTTAGCTGCTAAGCTGGGATTGTACTGTGACTGTACGTTTCCTAAAGAAGGCTGAGTTGGAGTACCAGCTGAAACACATAAGAGCATTAGAATTAATCAAGCAAGTACTAGTCTACCACTCTGATCAGCTAAAGCATCGTGAATGAGGTTCATTATTCTGTTTTGAAGACGATCAATAACCGCCTGATCACGTAATCCTTCCATTTTCTTCCAGACCATTTTTCCTGAAAAACTTGCAGGTAACAGATATCAATCAATCCATACACTAACCAAATAACTCATGAATACTACTGTTGTTTCCGAATCCTGGAACTTCCCCGGGAATCGCAGAAGAAGTTGGAGGTGGAGAAAGTGCACGCTTGTTGTTGTTGATTGTCATAGATTGATTATTCTGAAATCGATGAGTAGAGAGAGGGCAGTTAATGGAAAGTCACTTACATTCCCGAAATTGTTGGGATTTTCGAATCCTGGCTTGTTAATTGGAAGTCCGGTTGTTATCCCAGCTAAAATGAAAATCTTATTTTGGAAAAGAAAACAATTCGTAAATGTTTTGCCAACTTGGAAGAGTAAGGGACCAAAGCAAAACATTATAAAAATCATTTGCACATGCAATAGTTCCAATTTGGAAGAAAAATTTTTTGTCGAAAACGAGGGCTAGCTGAGGCAAGAATTCTTTTGTTTCGGACAAGTCGTTGTAAAAGAGTAAGTGAAGATGAAGGAATGAACTAAGACTTGATAGGAGAAGGATATTTCAGAAGTAATGACACAAAGCCTCCTTTTAAGCTAGCCCATATGACCAAATTCATTCAAAAATTCTGGCAAATCAACTAGACCTGGTTGGTTAGAGCCGTTCCTTTCGTCGCCCATCTGGAAATACTTGCAATCACAAAATAGTCATCGGTAGATCAATCCGAGGGATAGTGCTTTGCAAATCCGCAAGGAAAGTTTTTATTTTGTCCTGATCAGTTCAAATCAAAAGAATAAACTTAGTATTTCCTTTTTTTTCAAAAGCAAAATCAAAATGAATCAAAAGAGATTTTTCAAACGTAAAAATTTCTATCGTAACTCGGTAAGCTATTACAGAATCTGAAACTGAAAGGAATTTAGATCCGCGTATGCAGCTCAACACCAGAGCCGCTGCAGAAAAAAAAATTCAAATTTGAATATCAACACATTTCTCCCTCAACAGGGTGTGGTGAGACAAAACGAAACTAAACAAGAAGTTGTGTCTGCTTCACGAGAACAAAACTATTCAGATGATAGTTATGCGAAGAGCTGTGAAAATAAAATATAGACACTGGTTAAATGAGAAAACGCAAATAATAAAATAAAATGAAGAATTTTGGAAGATTTCAAAATCATATGAAAGCTCAGTTTCAGAAGTTGAAACTGTGTAAATGATGAAAATCCGTTCAAGCTCATGAAAACGCCTTATATCAAGAAATAACTAACCGATCTAGGAATAGGCATCTCTCCACGGAAATATCCATAATTTCCATGAGGATCAGGACCTGAACCTCTAAGTGGTGGACCACCACTACCCATCATTGGTCCTCCTCCTCCCATCATTGGACCACCATTACCCATCATAGGATTGTTAATAATTCCACCCATCGGTGGACCAGCATTATTCATAAAGCCTGGCCCGGGCATGGGGCCTCCCCTCATATTACCGGCTCGACCATTCAAGCTCATCAAAGGTGGAGGTCCTGAGGGACGGAAACGTTCATTTCCACGGTTTTGAGGACCACCTTGTCTCTGGAAAAAAAAGAAATATTCCAAGATTCATCAATTAACACGCGATTAATGAACGGCCGAACATCAGAATGCGTGATATCATTCGCATGATAGCGCGTCCAGAGAGCGGTTGCATTCAGAGAAAAAAAAAGTTGAAAACCAAGGACTTACATTGCCTTTGTTAACTTTGCCGCCTTTTTGGTTATTACGGTTGTTATTGTTATTATTGTTGTGACCCTTGTTATTTGACTGCTTCAGAGGCTGGAACATATAGAAAATAAATAAAATAAATCTGAAATCTACACATACCTTCCCATCGGGTCCGATAGCTCTACCAGCTGATCCCATATTAATCGAACGAAAATCTGAAAAGGGTACAAGTTGAAGAACATAAAAATACTCAAAGTATTGTAAGCGTGATTTTTCTAAGACAGAACGGCAGTCAAATCGATTCGGAACGAGAGAGACAACGCCGGAGAGACGCAGACATATTGTCAAGGCGCTGTAGGACCAATTTGTATTCGAGATTAACTTATATGCATATAGTTAGTTGTAAAAAATATTTGTAAAGGATGAAAGAATTAAGAATGGAAGAGAATGATATAGCTTCGCTGTTACAAACAACTGCATGTAGGGATATGGTAAACTGCACAAGGGATGTATTTCATTGGAATGGGGTTTCAGAAGCTCTGAAAATCGATGGAATATGCTCTGAAAGGGTCGGAAAATTATATACAACCAGCTGCATCTCGTGATTTTCCCACAGTTTACATCTGTGTACGTCCATTCTGTTTGTTACGGTCAACATTTTCCGAAGTTTTTAGGAACTTTATTTCAAATATGATATAGAGGCGGAAAATTAAAATTTCTTCCTGCATAATGAGGTATTACAATCGGCTTGAAATATAAATTTACATTTCTATATAATAGATTGTGGAACACATGTGTCCCTCGCAATTCGAAAACATCACTTCATAGGTATACTTCTTCACTCCTATAAACTACAATTGCTAACATGGTTACAATGGACGTAAGTTTTTTTTTGATTTCCTTATCAATAACAGTATACAAAAAGAGTTTCACTTCCCTTTGAAGAGCGTTATCTTAATCTCTCTCTCTCACAAACATACACACACTTTCATTAATGAACGACTGATGCAAATCCATTTTGTGGGGGGGGGGGGGGGGGAGGGGGAACCCTGTAATAAAAATTGATAAG